CGTGTTGTCTTTTTTTCTTTTTTTAATCGGAGATGTCTAAGTCAATTTGCACGCATTTTACTACAATGATCAATGATGGTTGTAACTTTTGTATTCTTATTTTTTTTGCGTGCAATGGGTTTCTTTTTTTTTTTTTTTTTCATTCGAGATATTTAAGTTAATTTATACGTTTTTACCATCAAATCATTTAAGATGGTTGTGACTTTTGTATCTTTATTTTTTGCGTTGTAATGGAATTAAAATGTTTATTGCGTGTAAACTAATATTTAAAAGGTGCTAAACCTTATTCAAAGTAAGTCAATTTATAAGCTACTTAATTAGTATAATATTAACGTTGTTGTCTTCGTCAGATAAACCAAAAATGATTAATTAATGTTCACGTATTATAGCTTTCATGGTTGGCCAACTTGATCTGGATCCAGTGTATAATCACAACACAGAACAGATATAATTTCATCCAATAATGGTTTAGTTGGTTGGGAGAGTAGATGAACTCCAAATCTGGAAACTTTTTTCATTTTGTCAACAAAAATTAAAATCAATCATGGAATTTTGATTTTGCTCAAAAATATTTCTACCCAAAATTATTGGGATTCATGTCACGTTCTAGAGGGAACATGTTAACATTATATTATTATTATTATTATATTTTTAAGTAGTATTTTATAAAGAATAAGAATAATACTTAAAAGTCAAAGGCCTCGAACACCATAACTCGCGCCCAAAAAAACCACAGATATATAGGTATAATACAACAAAGAAAAACTAGGATGAACAAATCCTATACCAAGCATCCATACCAGAAGATGTTAACATGTTTTGGTTGAGTTGATTACAATTTAAAGATTTGATTTTGGATTTCGCTTTTCGTTTTGACTGTTTCATGTCTTCCTGCAACTTAAAAACCCCCACCATCCTGCTTGTATTTTAAAACATGCTCTAATTGTGCTTATAAAAATGATTAAGGCACGTATATTTAAATAAAAACTATCTACATACTGCAATTCCAATCGCCAAGTCCAACTACATAATTCAATTAATTTATTCTAGTTAAAATATTACAATCTCATTAAGTGGCTTATTTTTCACATCTCTACAACTTTAATCATATATTAATATGCACAATACTACACTCATAATTTTTTATAACAACTTATGTGACAAAATGATTGAGTGAAAGTTTATATTAATTTAAATCACTCAATTATCTTTTACCACATAAATTTTGAGAGAAAGTTTGTACAAAAGATTATGGGTGTAATTATTAATTATGCATATATTGCATCGATAACGGGACATCAAATTGTTTTTATTATATCATATTAATAATGTTAATAATGGGAATATATATTTATAACGTTTTTCTTACTTAAGTTATGAAGAAAAAAAAATCTCATAAATATCCATTATAATTACTGGATAACCATTGTTGAAACAATCCGGCTCCTCCTATACACGATCGTTTTCGCATTATATTAATTTAATATTAGTCATATGATACAAAGAACATCCTACCCTATTATACCACACATTACATAGACAATAATCAAATACTATATATGACTTGTAAAATGTTCATATACAAGGCACAATACTTTTTTTTTTCAATTCTTATTTATATTTAGAATCCACAATTAATGAATGTTCGAGATTGTTGTAATCTTTTAATCACTTCAATTCTAATAAATACCATAAGTATTTATAAGATTTTGAAAATTTTCTGAATTCTTTTCGGTTGAATTTCTACATATGGAAGGTCAATATGCCCCTATATAATCCAAATATTACTTTCACATCATCAATCAACTTAAATATAAAACATTATATTAAATCCTTATAACTTAATATAAACATTTACCCACTATTACATATCATATTAACCTTTTATTCCCAAAATGTCATACCTCTTCTATTTCCTACGCAAAGATTAAATATAATTAAATTGGGCATCTTCAATCCCCAATATTATATTCTTCAAATTAAAAACAATATAATCAATTTTTGGGAGAGCATCAATAGACTATATTCCTCTTTTATTACTTGCACAAATAAAACCCTAATCAATTAATTTGGGCAATTCCAGGGACTTAGGAAGTTACTTGGTAAGGTTCTCGACCGAAAGGAAGAATAAAATAAGCAGATAAGAAGGACTCTAGTGTATAAAGTGATGTCTGGAGAAAGAGCTAAAGGTAAGCGGAACGGGGAAAGTAGTCACACTTTATTGAAATTCTACGTCATATTATTTCCAACTCTTACCTTTTTTTTTTGTTAAATAATATCCAAATATTAAAATAACCGCACCCTGGAGTCACCCTCGAGATATTTTGGTAGAAATAGGGTAATTACGTCAAGATTTGAAATGAAAAACTGAAGTTAAAAATATAAAGAGTAATAAATGCATGCGTTGAAAACTGGTGGTTACTGAAGGAATACGGATGTATGGGTTGATATATTAAATATTAAATAAGTAAATTATAACATATGGAGGATAAGCAGCAGTCACGTGCCGTGTGAGTATTAATCGGCTACTGGGTTTCTAATATTAATTTATATTCAGTTCAGGTGTCGGTACTTTATTAATGTACTTGGCTTTTCCTCTGCATCAAACAAACCTTCCATTTTATAACACCCCCCACCCCTTGAAAATTTGGAAAACAGTAGCCTCCACGAATCCCAATAGCCACTTAGACCCCCTACTCTTTTTTTTTTGCCCTTGGAAGTGTAATAATTAATCTATAAGGACGTGTTCAAGTTTTTTTAGTGCCAATTCAACTACTAATACTTGAAATGTCGATTTTACTTTTTTTTTTTCATGTATTTTATCAATAAAAGGTTTAAGTAGCTATTTTGGAAGTTGATGAGCCTCATATTTTGGATATTTCAGGTGACTAACCCTTTAAAATAAAATAAAGAGCAAACGGCATGTTCCCACCCAAGATTAGCAAAATGACATTTCAACCTTTAGTTTCATTTATCTAGATTTCCACCCTTAAGTGACACCGTTAGGTTTTTTTTTTTTTTTTTTTTAACAGTTGAAGGCTAAAATGGTCTTTTATTGTATTTGAAATGGTGGTCATTGGTAATTTGGTTGGGGCAATTAACACAAGTGGCAGTGTGGCTGCGTGGGAGAGGTCGAGAGAAGGGTGGTTGGCAGCAGGGGAAAAGACAGAAAAATAACCCAATCAATTCAATTCCACACCCATCAAATTTTAATTTACAATTCAAAAAAACAGCCTCTAATCAACACCAATTTCAACTGGTTTTGCAAAACCATAAGGTGAGTCGCGGCGATGAACACAGACAATCGTGGTCGTGAAGGTTGGGGTTTTGAAGGGAGATACCTGTGAGTGCAAGGGTGTGTTGTTTGGGGTTTAGAATGCTAAAATCATAAGAATCCACTAGGGTAGTCGCGCGCCACGTAACAAAAACCCAGTGTGTTGGTGTTTTCCAAGTGGGAACAGCTGATTTCAGGGAAATGTCGTTTGGGGTTGAGGCCGTCAGAATCCTGCTATAAAAAAAACCCAATTGTGGCTGACGTTTTACAGTGGGGATGGTTGGTTTCGGCTAAGGAAAGGTTGGGGTTTTGGTGTGGGAGGTTCAAGGGTAGATGGTGATGGCTTTAGGGGAAAAAAAGTGGGAAAAGTGGTGAAAGTCGGTGGCTAGACTGATTTCAAAATACGGCACAAAATCTCTCAAAGGTTCAAGGGTTTGGTAAAACATTATTTGTATCTTTGTCAAAACTCTATGTTAACTACGGTGTTACTTTAAAGGTAGAAATCTAGAATAATGAAACTAGGGGTAAATTGCTATTTTGTTAATCTTTGGGTCGTTTGCTGCAAAATAATAACAAATATACATGATTATATATATTTCATTACTATTTATCATTACAAGGAAACATTCTCGGGTGCGTTTGGCTCCCTATTTTTATCCATATTCCCAATCCTATTCTCCAAATAATGTTTGGCACACTATTCCAGAAATATTACCCTATTTTTTTTAATTACTTTTAGATCCCATAAGGTTATTAATTTCACTAAATGCCCCCTGAATTTTTTTTAAAAAAATTAACAAAAACCCCCCCATCAACCCAACTTGTCAGATTCTGGCAACCACCGCCGGTGATAGCCGGAATCTGTACAACGACCTAAATTCCGACCATAAATGGCCGGAATTACACCGATCTGGCCTTTTTCGGCCAGATCCACCACGGATCTGGCTGGAAAAGGCCAAATCTAGCCGTCAGCGACGGCCAAAGAAATGGCCGTCGTTGACCAAAAACGACGGCCACATCTTTGGCCGTCGCTGACGGCCAAAGATGGCCGTCGTTTTGGCCTTTACGACCGTCGACGGCCATAACAGGCCGTAGATCTGGCATTTTCGGCCAGATCCATGGTGGATTTGGCCGGAAAAGGCCATAATGATGCGTTGCGGCACAGATCCGATCGGTCTGTGCTGTAACAAAATTTTCCAGCCAGATTCCGGCGGTGGCGGCCGGAATCTGACACTGCAGGTGGTAGGGGTGTTTTTGTCATTTTATATAGTAGGGTCTTTAATTAAATTAGTAAACCTAAGGGCTTTTTCATAAATTTTTCAAATTTACCTCGTAATACTCCCCTATCCAACAATCCAATACTATCCTCAAAATCCTATCCAAAATACTACACCAAACGCACCCCTCATTTTCATCATCACTCCTATACAATCCACTAACTAAACAAAGTTTGTAATGAAACTGAGAAAATAGAGAAATTAAGGTATAAAGTCAACTGTTTTGTGGGTAGAATTAAAGGAAATAATTTATGTTTTATTATATTTAATCGATGAAATGGATTTTGATTTTTGCAACTACAATGCGTAAGTACGATTATCGTGATTGACATTGACTGACTGTCCCAAAGCAGTAAAAAATGTAATAGAAACCAGAGGCACAGCACAGCGCCACACCGCACGGTCCGCACCTACTGGTCTTATTTATTCAATTCCAAAGAAAGTTCTTTTCACTTCCTAATCACCATCCAACGCTCCCAAGTCAACATCATTCACGTCTCCAATTAATACCAACGGTCAAGATTGCAGAGAACACAATTTTCGTTTCCCGGTCGCTCCATTTGATAACACACTCAAAGTTCGATTCGGATTCAACATCGAAACTCAAAGACCACCAGTTGATGAGCCGGTAAGCTTCTGTTGTTAATTCTTGTACCCATTCGAGTTAGTTTCTGGGTTTTCTTCATAACGACGCCTGAAAAAAAAGAGGAGCTTACAGAGATAGTTTTCGACTTTAGTTGGTGAAATTTGATTTGGGTTAAATTTGAGGTGTGGGATTTTGTGATTACCCAGATGGGATCTGGAGATGAAGTCGTAGAAATTGAGAATCTGGAGAGGGGTTTGTTATCTGATAAAGACATAGAAAAAGCTGAGGACGATAATAGTGATACTGTCTTGTATACGGCGTCGTTTCGGGAGAAAGAAGACAATTTTGTGAAATATCAAACTGCTCGATGGGTATTATATTCATTGCTTTTGATATTGGCTTGGGGTATTGGTTTGTTCATGCTGTTGTATTTACCTGTAAGGAGATATATACTACGGAAAGATATCCGCTCCAGAAAGCTCTATCTCACTCCAAATGCCATTGTATATAAAGTAAATTCACTACACTTCTTTCACTTTTTATGTTTTCATTTGTTGCTTTTACTGATATTTTGGGTTGCATTTAAAGTTCTATGATTCAAAGGTGTAGTTTGCTAATCATTTTATAATTTGAGGCCGACTGTATGTTACTTATAAATTAACAATTTGGACGGGAATTTATAAAATAGTTTGAAGCTGTAAACATATTGTTCAATTGTATGTTAATTCCTTTGATGTCATGCCAAGTTATGTATGTATGTCTTCTGTTGGATAATACTTTTTTTCTTTAGCTCAGGTTACCAGGCCGGTGCCATTTCCATGTTTTGGTGAATTAAAGAAAGAGAAGCATGTTTTGTTGCCTTCAGTTAGGGACATTGTGATTGAACAAGGTAAAAGCTTTGGTGTGATTTTTTTAATCTACGATATTTGTGGCGTGATTGTTGCTATGCTATTCTTTGAGTTTATAAAGGGCTCGACCAGGGTTTAATTTTACCATTTGATATCAAGGATAGATCAAACATTCTGAAGGATCGGTTGCATAAGTTACGTTGCTGTAGTTATATGCTATTATCGAGTTCAGTAATACAGTATACTTAGAGATTGAGTACCCTAACAACAATCGTACTTGTATTCACTATTGTACTTCAGTTTGTCCAAAACAACAACCTTGTAGCAAAGTTCGCTAAAATGTTGTTGAAACATTGTCTTGCCTCTCACCAAAGCCAAGAAAAGCTAAGACTGGGTACATTTGGGCCATCTAGAGATGTTCTCTCCCACCTGTTTTTGCTCTTGTTTAAAGTCTTGTTGAGTAAAGATATTTCCTCATTGATGTTGAAATATTTTTGTCTTACCAATAGTTTAGAGTTTATCTCTATTTTATATCAGCTGATTTCAGTAAACTTTAAAATACTTGTATTGCCATCAGGCTATTTGCAGTCTTTTTTTGGTGTATACTCTCTTAGAATAGAAAATGTTGGTGTAAGAAGGCCTCCAAGTGATGATGTTCAAATCCAAGGCATAGCAAATCCAAGTGCTTTCAGAAAGGTACTCTGTTGTCATCATAATTATTATTGGTAATTTTGAAGAANCTTGATGCAATCCCACCAATCCAGGATACGAGAGTGCTAGTTGGCCCCAATAAAGAGAGATTAGAGGTCAAGGTGGCTTTGTCTAACTCATTTGGATTTGGTGGCCACAACTCATCAATCATTTTTGTGCCTTACAAGTGAATTTAAACCTTGTTTTGCTACTCCAACTGTTGCTGTATTATGGCTAAGGTATGTCATTGTTTCCCTTCCTTTTTAGAAATGGGAATTGGGTACGGAGAAAAACCACACCAAGAACTAGAAAAGGGGTAATTGTAATATCACATTTCTGTAACTCATTTTTAGACATTCTGTTATTTTTCTATTTCATAATATTTAAGCCACTCAGGTGACATTCAGCTTCATTTGCATCAGGGAAAGAAGTAAAACTTAACATGTAGAGAAATAGAAGGCAGTACTTTTTAAGTTCTGTTTAATCTTCTTGATTGGATGAATACTGATGGTAGGGCTTGAATACATCTTGCAGAGTACCCAGGAAGATTATCTTGGTATATGTTCAATTAGTCAAGTGCTTGTGAACATAAAAACATATTAATTGGACAGTGTAGCTTCACAGAAAGACTGATGAATATCTCAAAGATTAAGGAAAGACAATGCTCCGAGTTCAAGATGTGGTTATTGTGAAACTAGCTTATACTGTTACTAGAGTTTCTTTTTTCTCATAAATTGCCAAAGTGGGGCTTTATTTAGTTAAATGTGAGCCACTGAACCAAACCACCATTACATGCAGTTTGATTTCTTGTTTTTATGTAAAAGTTGATGGCTGATCAAATTGTCATGATGCTCAAATTGTAACGAATTTTAAGCTAGCAGTTTCTAGGCTAACCTGTATGTTGCATTCCAGTCTGTTTCTCGTTTTCCCATGTGTACTTGAAACTGATATTTGAGGAAATATATCCCAGTCCCACCCCTCAAATGAAAAGGATTCATTATTGACTCTCCTTCGACTTGTATAATGATAAAATGGCGAACTATAGCTTTGCCCCATCTGTTTCACTGTTTTGTATTAACTTTCTCTTCGGTAAGCCCATCTTGTAATTTAAACCACTGTTTTAAAACCTGGCCCATCCTGGCCGGTTTAAGTGGGACCCGGGAGCTTCACTGGGTCGGGTTAACATTTTCCTTATTCATCCAAAACTCTAGAATTTGGGATGATGATGATCGGTGAACAATTGAAGATTGGAATGTTGATGCTTTTGAAGAGAAAGTGTCATTGAGTGCAGTGGTGGCAACAAAGTTGATTTTTGATGAGTGAATTGATCAGAAATCGAAAAAAACTAGCGGTGGCAATAGTTGGCTTTTGTCAGCGATTGGCGAGGCTAACAAAGGTGGGGTGAGGTGGGTTTTGGTAGGGAGAAAGAGGGGAGTATTTTTAGGGTGATGGGGAGGCTTGTCAATATCGGCGAGATCTAGCTTGGAATGTCGACGCTAGTGTCGATGAGATCTAGTCAAAATCAAATTGATTTTGACTAAATCTTGTGTAAATTTTCAAGAGAATAGGCTCAAGAGACAATTAGAATTGCTTTTGGGGTGTCGTCGTCGCCAACTAGTCATCTGTCGATTTGTATTTGGGATGTGTTTACTAGATTTCAAACTTATAAGAACTTAATAATTTTCAAGGGTGTATTTGCTGAATTTTAAAAATTGTCACTTGGTTTGACTGGCCGATCAAACCGGTTAAACTGGTCAACCCGAGACTTGACAACTTTGTCAGGTTTTACCCTAGGTTGTGTGTTTAAACATTGACTTAAACCGGTCATATTGTGGGTTCTATTAAGGGAGAACGACATGTTCCCACCCAAGGTTTGGCGAAACGACACTTTCCTACCCTTCAGGCTTCAAGTTTCAAAATGACACTTTCTTACCCTTCGTTAGGTTTTGTTATGTTTTTTATTCATATTTTACTGAAAAGACAAAAATACCCTTAAATATTTGACTTTATAAATTTTTTATTATTTTTTAATTAGCCAAAAAGTCAAAAAAGCAAAAATAGTTAACCTTATCAAAAAAGTTAAGAGTAATACTATGGAATTGTTTAAAATTAAATGACTTTAATATTTATTTATTTATAATGTCATCAATATCTCATCACTATTATTTAATAGAGTAATATTACAGTCACTGGGAGTAGTGCATCGAATAACGTAACACAATTCTGACCGTCGATTAATTATAATTTAATATTAATCGACGATCAGGATTATGTCACGTTATTCGGTGCACAGATTCGTTGCACAACTCCCGATGTCTATTATTTTCCTATTTAATAATCTAATAAATTTATAATGTTTTTCATAATATAATGTTTTTCATTTTTACTAATTGACATAGAAAATCAATATTCATAATTAATTAAATAAACAAAGAAAAAAAAAGATATTTTTACACTTAAACTAATAAATAATCGAATAAAGATTTTGACTTAATTAAATTTTAATTTATAATAAATTAATTAAGAAATAAACCATTTAAAGGTATTTTCGTTATATAAAAATCACATATTAACAAAAAATACTAACAAAATCTGACGAATGATAAAAAAGTGTCATTTTGAAACTTGATGGGTAGAAAAGTGTCATTTCGCCAAACCTTGGGTGAGAAAATCCCATTCTCCCTTTTATTAAAGATAAAGAGAACATTGATTCCCAGCCAAGATTTAACCCTATTTAACTGCCTAATTTCATGTTTTATCCCACATTGGTGATAAAGCATTGATCATTCCCACCAAAACACCATCTTTAACACATTCTTGTAAAAGGTGTTAGACGTTCAATTGGTACTCATATTACATAAGCCAGATCATACCATTCCCAAAGATAACAAATTAAAATGAGATCAATTGCAGACAATAAAAAAAAAAAGAAAAAAAGAAAAATTCCTAAGACCAGCTTCCCCTCACTCTGTAATTATATACACAGCATTGTACTATCCGATACATGAATTTCCAAAAACCCAATGCCTATAACTTAGTATAATTTATTAACAAAAATCTTCACGACCCGGAATGCATATCTCCCAACCAATTTCATCACAGTGTATATGGTCTTTTACTTCCTTGTTTTCTTGCTGCCTTTCTTTTGACTCTTAAAATTTATGGGTTTCAATGAAAGAGCAGTCGACGCACTCTTCCCTTCAAGTTTTTTGGCCATATTTACCACACTAGCCATACCTTTCCGAGCAGCTGCCCGATGCTCTGGTCTACGGCTCATCATCTTGCGATCAAGAGGCCAATAAGCATACGGTTCAAGCTTGCCCTTCCTCTTCACATCCCCAGTTGCCTTCTTGCTAGCATACTCACTCCCAGTGTATGCCCATCCAGACTCAGACGTTTTCCCACGTTTCTGGTTTTTCCTTGTGGAGTTCATAGACATAATACTGCCTACTTCACTCCTTGCATCTGAATCAGGGACTGAATGCAATACCTTCTTTGGTTTATCTCCCTCATGAATCACCAAGCGCCCCTCAGAGTCTATCTCCAGATCATCATCTGATTCTGACTTTCTCTTGGAATGCTCAGATGATCTAAGAGCTGACCTTGTTTTCTGCCGATCAAGTAAGTCAAGTGGCTCATCTTCTAACTGGTCAAACAAATCTTCTGGCAAGCTCTTATCTGCTTTACGCTTTTTCTGGACCCTGGATGAATTATATGTGATTCTATATCAGCCACAGTTAATTGCAAGAAAATACAGAGGCATAGATACTATGAAATGGAGCTATATTCTTCAAAAACTTGAAGTACACAGCCATCTGTTTGTCCAGGGCAAATAAATGCTCCTAAAAAATTCACTGGCTACTCGACATTGTGCACTATAAAATTACACCCCCAGCCCTCTTTTTTTTCTTTGTTCTTTGTGGCCCTCATTTATTGATTTTTAAGTGAGCAAATTATTTAACGGCATTTATGAAGTGCATGTATTCCAACCAATCATGAACACACAAATGAAAATGTTAGTTAACTAACCTTAATGATGATGCTTTGGACTTTAGCTGTGAGGAAGCCTTGCTCCGTCGACCAGAAACTGTCTTTGTATCCATGTATTCTGCATCACTGTTCTCGGAGTCTTCGTCACCAAAATCGGAAAATATTTTTGTATGATTCCATCGGCTAAGCCTGAAATCAATCAAACCCTCAAAAGTAAGACCCATGTGCAGATTAAATAATTTCCAGAAAAAATAACCTATAACTACATGCTTGCATCGGAATTTCGATGACATCGACTCTCGCACAATGACATCAAAAACTTATAACATTTAAAGAGCAATTAGTTCAAACAAGTTGCACACCAGAGAGAGGACAGTTTCCCATCTTTTATTTTTAATGATACAAGGCTCAAGCTCTGAGGTTGACAAATTAATGATCACAAAACCACAAAAAGTAACTTTTCTAGAACATGGATAATTTGTTATAGCTAAAAAGAATATAATTCCTGGGAACAAACACGTTAATTAAAGCACAATAGTACAGTGGCTGTGCAAGGCACATGACTTTCAAGTAAGAACTGAAACCTACTCAGTTGGGAATGGCTATTAGACAGTGCTAAAGCATGAAACTCATCTAAGAACTAAAGGGGAATAAAAGCACAAATGTATTATGTACAAAGACTTTCTACATGCATAAACCAAAATCCTAATGAGAAAAACTCAAACCTTGAAGTAGTTGCTTTAGAAAAATGAGATCTGGTTTCCTCAGGGTTAACTGCAAATTTTCTCTCTGTCCGCTCCTTGATCTGTGGCAACAAAAATGAATAACATCAGAACTGAAGCCATAACAAATTGCATCCTAAATAAACACCTTTTCAATTTGACAAACCTTTCTTATATTAGTAAGGAGTCTCATGTGTTCTTCTGGCATTACAGCCTTAACAGCATCAATGCCACATTTCTTGACAAGCATTTCCAAAAGAAGCTTAACCTGGAAACAATTCAATATTGACAGATAAGAAAAAAGAATTTGGATCTCCTTTAGACACAGACACTTATTCAATAACAGAATGTTGCAATTTTCAGTTGAACACACGCTGTTCAGTATAATCTGTATTAAACATCATACTCCAAATATAAATTCCAATAACAAAAGAGATTCCCATACACAATTTTACT